ACTTGCTGTGCAGGCTGGGTGGCTGCTCGAAGACAACAAGCGTGCCCCGAACTTCGGCCTCGCCAGGCCTGGCCTTTCGCAGGGCCGTGTGATTTTATACGACCCACCGTTCACTCCGTTGCAAAAGCCTGATTGTGGGCCATTGAACATGAGATTGGTGATTTGCTTGCAAGTTATGGGGTTTCAGTGACAATGAATGTTGTTGGACGCAGCAAGTGTCAGGTAGTAGTAGGCTTCCCATGGTTACAGACGCATCAGGTGCCAGAACGCGTGAGGAAGGGTTTCGAGAAGAAAGCAGCAAAGGTGGAACTGGTTGAAAGACCAGTGGTGAAGAATGCGTTTGGAACAATCCGCCTCGTGCTCAGACATTACAGAGTTGTCAGACTTAATGTTCAACGCCAGTATTAATCCTGGAGGTGGTAGTAAACCATCACAAAACGATTGTGGGTGAGTTCAATACTATTTATAATATAATAGTAATCCATGAATGCGTGAAAGTTAGTCACTACTCTGGATGCAATTATTTTCATGCAGTCACCCCATCCACTGTGTCTGAAATGAGGCGTCTTCGGGTCCACTGTGCGTGCCACGCAGGGGTACCTTAGCAAGCGAGGATCAGGCGCTGGAGCCTAAGTCAATGACGCAGCATGACACCACCACGGGCCAAAGAATCATTTTCTTTTTTTTGTGCCAACATCGAGACAACATGAGATGCCATTCATCATCCGAACTGAATGAGGATATGGCGACACAATGCTATTTTTGGGACGCCTACAAGCGTGCCTGCCGGGTCGCAGGGAAGAAGCGTGGGAGATTTCTTAATCCCAGCGTTGCAGAATTTCTTGTTGGATACTAGGCTGAGAAGTTTGTCTTGCAATGGTTTAGCTCGAAAGGGAGTTAAGCTAGTAGCCAAAGGAGTCAGGACCTACAATGGGTGTGAATGTTGTGTGGTCAGGACTGCCGCCTGGTTGGACAGATGCGACACCGGGTGCAGTCTGCTTTGCAGATTTCGCAGCGCTTTTCCCGAGCAGTGCTTGCCAAGTCCGAACCCCAGTTCGTCCATTATGATAACCGTTGGGCCTGGACTGTGTTTTGAGGCCCAGCGGGCCCCGGTGATTTCATTGTTTTCTGGGGTTGGCGGCCTCGAGCTGGGAATGAGTTCGTGGTTGACTCAGTGGCTTGAACTTGGGCAATTTGGCTAATGATGGTAATAGCAGTTCAAGTCCAATTCAAAAACCGTGTTCACTGCCAGAGATTATGCGAGGCTCGTCCGGCCAACAGTGTACGCCCACTGCTCAGCGTGTGGTGCAATGATGGTGGTTTTACAGGCGCAGCTGTAGCTCATCTGAGGTGGAAAAAGATCCCTGGTGCCGGGCAGTGCTCACGGCCAGAATGCAGGATCAGTTGCTGGAGCATGCCCCCATTGTCACGGACATCGTTGGGTTCGTACCTACTCCCAGCCAAGCTCAGAGCCAGGGCATTCTGGCTGGCTTCCCATGCCAAGTTTCTAGTCAGTTAAATGCAAATTCTGTGCGAGTGGTTTTTTCCTTGAAGTCCTATTACAATCTAAGTAGTAACAGTATTGCCAAGGACATTTGCAGAGCAGGGAAGAAGCAGGGCCTTCAAGGCCAAAGGTCATCCCTGGCGGCAAAATTTTTTGACATCATTGACAAGATGCCTTCTGTGTGAGGGGCCCAGCGCAAAGCTTTTGACGGTAATTGCGGCGCATTTTACATAATGTCTCTGAGTCTCTGAGTCGTTATTTCTGAGGCTTTTTGCATGGCTAGAAAATGTGTCCCACCTATTGTCCAAAGACATGCGGCCGTTGCTGAACTACGTGCTCCAGGAAAGCTCTTGTGTTTAATACTGACTACTGTCCTGTCGTTGGATGTTCTCTGGACTACTAATTCTTTCTTGATCATGATGCCACGCCGCTCCGACTGACACTGAGTGGCTGAAGGAGTTCAAAGCACGAGGCTTCAGCGTGCGCTGGTGTGTTGTGACTGGCAAGATGGCTGGTTACCACGCATGAGCCTCAAAACGCAATTGGCCTGTGGGTTGTTTGATTTCAGATTGATCCACGAGTTTGCTTGGAGTTTCTATTAGGTGAACCGGGACCGCATTTTCCTTTATGCTTCTGCGGCTGACAGTGGCATGGGATTGTTCAAGGCGACTGTCACTGTCCACTGTGCAATGTGCTTGTTCATGGGCTTGGAGTTTTTTTTTGGTAATTTAATGCAAATTTGAGAGACTTATTATGGGTCATGTTTAAAGTTTATTAAACGAGTCATAAGTAAGAATTTTCTTGCAGGACATGCGAGTGATGACGTTGGAGCAGATGCAGTTCGAGGCACACCAGTGCCATTTTTTTGGAGAGAGGAAGCCTCTCTTGCAAGACTGGCTGGTTCAAAGCCAGTCAGAAGAAGACAAAATGCGTCTGAAAGCCGTAGGAAACATAGTGATTCCTCGGTGTGCCAGATTGGCAGCCCATATCATGGCCCATGCTCACATTGCACAGTTTGCTTGACGGGTCTCCAACACATTGGTTTTAACTTAAATATCATTTGTTTATCATTTGTTTATTTTTACCCTGCATCAACCAATAATGATTCGTCACTCAATTTGTGAGCCGCGCGTTGACAGTGATTAGGGTTGCGAAATGTTGCTTGCCACCTCATGGTGGAAATTCAATGCCTGGCAAAGTGCGGAGCCAATGTGAGGAGGTCTCACTGGCAAGTTTAATTATGTTCCACTTTGCTTCCCACACTTGTGTCTGTGTGGTTTCATTGCATTTTTTTGCGCATGGACAGATTGATCAAGTATTTTGTGAAGGTGTTGAGATTGCTGGGGGGTTTTCGGGCTCAGAAATCAGCTGGTAGTTCCTTCCCCTTCTCTGCTGTTCGTCATGCCTGACGTTGGCTCTCCCAGACGTCCTATAGAGCAGCGAGACAGCAGCAGTTCTGACGATGGTAATGACTCTGAGTGGGAGCTAGTGAGTTTGGATGACAGCGAACGACCCGTTCCTCAGCTAATTTCAAAACAGAGTGTGATTGATGGCAGGAGGACAGTCATTTATTATGCCTGCGTTTCTGGGTTTCCTTCATGGCTCAGGCTGCAGCAGGTTCTACTTCGGGGTCGGATGCGGCTTTGATGGCAGCAGAGGCAGCGTGGGGTTAAGCTTGAAGAAGTTATTACTTTTTTAGCTTCAATGCCTGCTTGATCAGTCTGTATTTTGTTTTCACTTGCGTTTTCTTCCTTCAGGTTTCATCCGGGGCTTCCACCACTGTCACCTTGGACCAGGCCAGATTGGTTGCAAGTGTGTTCCGCGGATGAATTCATCAATTCTGTTTCTGATATATGTTGTTTTTGGTAGCAATGATAGCAATGGAGCATTAGTCTTTGATGTTTCGTGGCAGGCTGCAGACAAGATGCAGAGCACTTTGTCAGGCCAGCCTCGAGTCCAACAGCTATTCATTCAACCAGTCAGTGAATTCTTTCGGAGGTGCTTTGCGGCAGCAGAAGCGTGGCTCTGCTAGTGGTCGAGGCCTGGTAGCTTTCTCAATGCTATTATTATGTGGGTTTTTGTTTCCTGGCATTTCTGCGTGCAGGTACTTGCAGTAATGATGTCGAAGCCCCAGAAGGCTCTGCTTTGCCTCCTCCGTCTCGGTTGTCTCACTTGAGGAGATGTTATGGCAAGGCTGCCCGCCTTGTAGTTACAGTGTGTTTGGCACAGCCGCTCAGTTGATGCAGCTCTGATGCAAGCTTGTTGTGGGGTGACCGCCCGCGATCATCCCAAGTTCAATTTTAATTTTGACATTGGATGAATGTCTGGCGCAGCTTGGAGTGATGATTCACTATCAGATTGTTGTGTCAATATTGTCGTAATGCTTTCCTTTGTGGCTACTGTCCAATGGCAATGGTGCATGCTGGCAGCTTAATTAATTTGTTTGAGAGAATCTCATGTGAACGTGCAGTCTTTCAGTTCATGGATCGTCCATTGATATATTCTTGATTGTGGTGGCGATTGATTACATCATGTGCCATCAAAATATGGAGTAGTCACTAAATGTTGCTTGTCATAGTGGCTGGCGTAGTTGCGGTGGTGCATGTCAATCTCTGAATGAACTGGTGAGCAAAGAGTTCATGCACTGCCCTCAGTTTTTGGTTTTGGTTCTCCAAAAACGGCTGTTGCTAAATAATTTGCTGGAGACATCATATATATTATATAGGGTGGAACATTACGTTGAACGCACATCCACAGCGTTATGATTCATGACAAGAAGCGGGCTGACGAAGAAATGCGAGAAGCGAATAATAGACATGATAATCAATGAGTCATGAGCTCCTGGAAGTTAGGTTCAACGGAGCTCAGCCAGAACTGTTTCGACAGGAAGCGTCTAAAAATGTTTGGTTTGCGCCATGTCTGTGGCGTGGTTGTGCTGGGTAATGCGTCTGGGTTTTGGTTGCGGGGCTCATGTTTAAGGAGATGCTTGTTGTATGTGTACTGTTGTGATTGCGTGTTGCATCAACGGCTCAGCTGGGACAGAGAATGGCGCCAAGTGAAAAAGTTAGTTAGTTCATGGCCAATACTGAAAAGCGTGGTTGAATGGTTGCCCATGGCTGAAGTTTTTTTTTCAACTACTAATATAATATTTAATTTGTGTATGACAAAAAGATGGTCAATGAACTTCAATAATATGGACAACACAAGGGCCACAAGGGTTTCAATAATTTTATTCCCTGTCCTGCGTCCCATGTCTGACAGCGAAGATTGCCAGCCACCACCAGCCAAACGGCCAAAACTTGAGATTACAGACCTTTCTGACGATGAGCCAGGTGTTGCAGTAGTTTCAATTCCTGTGGCGTCAGAGCCTCCTTGTAGTCGACAGTTTGAAGTCCGTGAACGCCAGCCCCCACAACACGCTGCTGATGAGAGGGCGCGTGTTTCTCATGTAGTTGGAACCGTTTGTACTTGCGCACGAAGGCGTCAAAAATTTGCAATGAGCTGCAACAGGCAGTTCAAAGGTGATGTCCATCAGTTGACTGTGTTGCGGCTGGAGCTTCGCAAACTCGACCAGCACGACATGGACTCAAAGGCGGGGGTTTGTCTTGTGGTTGCGTTCTTTCATTTCTTTTGATTTGAAATAGTAGTCCTCTTTTCATGCCGTTTCTTTGAATAATTGTCAGTTCCCTTTTTATGTGACTGAGGTGGTGGAGATGCTGAAGGTTCCAGTGAATGGGTCCACCCGGAAGGACCAGGCATTGCTGGGGAGAGCAGTCTGCCAACATAGTTTTCGCCAGCTTTTGGGCATTGGCCCCAAGAGGTTTGAACGATTGAAAAGATGTGCTCTGACAGATTGCCCACTCCCAGTGGACGGGAGGCAAAGGCCCCGGAGACACGATGGAACAAATCATGAATCAGTCCGGAAACGGGGGTTGATCACAGATTTCTTAGAAGAGATCTACAATAGCATGAGTGAGCCGATGCCAGAAGCTTCGGACCAAGGGCAGGTTGAAGCAGAGCAAGGAGATCATTATGTGATGCCCAAGATGAAGTTTCGGCGCGACCGTGGCAAAAACCCTGGCAAACGACTCAGAGACATGACAGTCAAGACCTGCACGTTGAAGGACACACCTGTCCGTTTGCTTCCGCCAGGCAGTTTTTCAGAGTATTTGGAGATGTTGCAGGCAAAACACCCAGGAGAGAAATTTTCTCTCAAGCTGTTTTGCACAGTTCCTTGTCTGTGAGTTTTCGTTCGAACGTGATCATCATGTCAGAGATCACTCAGTGTGACAGATGCGCCGCCCAACATAATACTTGAGGTTTGGGGTTCCAACTTCACCAAGATGGCGATCCGACGCTCCTCACAACATGCCTCGTGCAGCACCTGCTGCCGCCACAAGATGATCCTGAAGCGACTTGGTGCTGACAAACGCGCCAGGGCCATGCAGATGCAGGAATACCAACGGCATCTTCACCGGACCTACCAGGACCGGGTGCGCTACTGGCTGACTCGGTCTCAGTCCCGACTTGGTATTCAGCCATCTGGAATATCCACATTGACATTGATTTGTGATGGCATGGATAAATCTAAGTACCGTTATCCACGGTCGGCCGTGTGCAACTCGAAAGAGTTTAGTGGCCTGGTAAGGCCGGCTCTGGACGTTACTGCGGTCATTTGCCATGGCCACAATGTAGTGCTTGCTTGCTCTGAACCGTTTGTTCAGAAAGGTTCTTCCTGGACCACTGAATTGGTGGCCCACAGCATAGACAAGGTGGCTCAGAAAACAGATGTCCGCGGTTGCGAAATTCAGCTACAAATGGACAATTGTGGCCGCGAAAATAAAAATAACAGCCTGTGTCGGCTGGCTGGAATTTTGACTGGATCCGGCCGCTGCTACCGGATGCAGTTAAACTTTTTGGAATCTGGACACTCCCACGAGGACATTGATCAATATTTTAGCAGCCTCTCCAATTTGATTGAGAGCAGGCGCGAGATCCACACCCCTGATCAGTTTGTTGCGGTCTTGGACCGGTTCATGCAGGATGCGTCAATTCGTCCCCATGAAGAGTCTCGATTTGTGTACAAAGTCGATGCAGTCCGGGATTGGAAACTTGGACCCAGAAGCGATGTTGACAGCATGACATGTATTTATGTTCCTCTGCATGTCTGAATAATTCAGAAATTCAGTGAGTGTCATTGGTTGTCAGGAAAACGTATCTTCACCTAGCTTGTGAAGGGAACCACTTGACTGGCATTGGTGGCCCTTCTGCGCCACATGTCTTTGCGTTTGATCGACGGCAGAATCTTCCAGGCTCGTTTATTTTGAAAAGTTTGCAATCAGTTTACTTGACCCGTTGATACTTCCTTCCTTCCAGCCCATTTGCCTCTGGCTTTCAATTTCGCCATGACCCAGGTTTCGAGGACAATTCCGGGGTGAAGACCAAGTTTTGGGGGACCCGTCATGGTGCGAATGTGCCACAACCCACTGACGTCATCATGAGGACCAAATTCAATTTGTTATTCTGGGCGTTGGCTGCCACCTGCGTCGTGTGTTCAGAACTGTTGGGGTTCGATGGGAGACGGAAAAAAACAAACAAACAAAATCTTGTGTTGTGTTTTTTTGATGGCTATTTATTCTTTTTGTTGAAGGTGGAGTTGGGCCATGTGGGGTTTATGTTGGGGGCCATGTTGGTGGGGGGGCCTATGGCTCTCCACCTTCAACAAAAAGACATTGACCGAAAAGTAGATGGCTCAACTCAAAAAAACAAAATACTACCCATAAGATGGCACCGTGCGGTGAGAAAGAAAACAGCGCTATTTTAGCTGAAACATAAAATGTTTGGCCCTTGTTGGGTCATTTTAGGGCTATGTTGGCGGGCAATTTGGGGTTCTTTTTGGTGGCTTCCCGGGTGTAAAATTTCAATCCCAACGGACGCATGGTTCCGTTGAGGTTGAATTTTGAGTCGGTTTCGTGCTTATGCTGGGCCATTTGGAGGCTATGTTGGGCCTCTGTTGGGGCATCTTGAGTCCTATAAAAAACCCGCGTAAAATTTGATTATTTTACGCGGGTTTTTTGGGCGCATTTTGAAGCCTTCTTGGGCCTTCCGAGTGTCATTTGGACGCTATGTTGGGCCTCTGTTGGGCCATTTTAGGGCTATGTTGGACTCTGTCGGCGGCTTCCGGGCCTAAAAATTCAACCCCAACCGAAGCATGGTTCGGTTGGGGTTGAATTTTTGGCTGGTTTTAGGCTTATGTTTGGCTGGGCCATTTGGAGGCTATGTTGGGACTTTGCTGGGCCATCTTGAGGCCATGTGTGGGCATTCCCAGCCCGATTTTGGCAAATGAGTGGGAGTTTGCGCCTATGCCTTAAAGGCGGCTTGATGTTCAGAAAAAACTATGGGGAAAAACCAGCGCAGAAGATTGCAAAAAACAGGTCCTTTTTAGGGACATACATGGCGCAACTGCGCTGTTTTGAATGGGAGTTGAGCCATCTATCCCCCGCATTTTGCATTTGACATAGATGGCGCAACTCAAGATTCTGAGCCATCTACTTTGACATCAGAGCATTTTTTTGTTGGAAGATTTTTTGACGGCTATTAGGAGGCCATGCTGGGCCATGTTGGGGCATGTGGGGGGCCTCTGGGGCTCCATGGGAGACGGGAAAAAAATCCAACAAACAATTTTTTGTTGGGATTTTTTTGATGGCTATTTGGAGGCCATGTTGGGCCATGCAGGGATCATGTTTGGCTCATGTTGGATTAAAAACGTTTCCAGACACCTCGTGAACCTTTATACAGAATCATGCTTTTTTTGGAGTTTCTCATTCCTGTTTGTGCTCATTTTGAATAGGACCAAGCAGTGGATGAGTGATGAGTCCTGGCAAGATGCTGTTCTTTACTTGCCTGGCAATCTCTGCGATGAATTTGCGTCCCGGGGCATTGTTCCAGATGGTGGCTTGACTGTAGTTTTTCTTGAGTTGGCTGGAATTTAGTTTGGAAGAAACACCATCCATAGGCATGACCGATCAGGTGAGAGTCTGTTGGTCTCAGTGTCTAGGACCAAACCAACCAACAATTGGCGCTGTCAACAGCACTTGCCGCAACTGCAACCACGACTGACTATAATTACCTAACAATCAAATCAACGACATGTAGCTCACAGCACACGACACCATCCACGACAACACAGACCACAGTCCAGAAGAAACAAGCGAACAACAGCAGCAAGACTTAACCCACAACATGTGACACACCATCCACAACAACACAAAAACACACACACAGCACAAGAAACAACGAAAGACGAGCACCAACAAAAAAGAAGAAGCAACAACGGTTAAACAAGAAGCAAAGACCCCCGAACAACTAAGAACGAAACAAGAAACATCAAACAAAAACTATGAAACAACAAGCCACCAAACAACAACATCAAAACAACAACAACAACAACACCACCACCACCACCACCAACAACAACAACAACACCAGCAGCAACAACAACAAGAACAACCACCAACCAACAACCAACAACCAATAGCCAACAACCAACAACCAGCAACCAACAACCAGCAACCACCAACCAACAACAATTCACCAACAACCAACCACCAACCACCAACAACCAACAACCACCACCAACAACAAGCAACAACAACGACAACAGCGAGAACAACAACAAGAACAACAACGAGAACAACAACGAGAAGAACAACAAACAAAAACCAACAACAAACATCAACAAACAACAGACAAAACAACAACATCAATCAACAACATCAATCAATAACATCAATCAACGACAGACAAAACAACAACAACAACAACAACCACAACAACAACAACAACCACCACCACCACCACCACCACCACAACCAACAACCAACAACCAACAACCAACAACCAACAACCAACAACCAACAACCAACCACCAACCACCAACCACCAACCACCAACAACCAACAACCAACAACCAACAACCAACAACCACCACCCACCACCAACAAGCAACAACAACGACAACAACGACAACAACAACAAGAACAACAACGGGAACAACAACGAGAACAACAACAAACATCAACCAACAACAAACATCAACAAACAACAGACAAAACAACAACATCAATCAACAACATCAATCAATAACATCAATTAACAACATCAATCAACAACTGACAAAACAACAACAACAACAACAACAGCAACAACAACAACACCAGCAACAACAACAACAACAACAAGAGCACAAGAAGAATCACGAAAACAATAATAATAATAAACAAAAGAGGAATAGGAGCAACGCACAGCAACCTTGACCGCAACCACAACCACCATGATGACCATCACAGAAAAACATGTGCTCCAACTGTGTGATGACGCTGCACCATACAGGGATTAGACGTGTCAGTTTTGATTTCCAAACTTTATTTCTTTTTGTTTGTGTGTTGCGCAGTCCGGGTGGATGATCGCGACGTGGACGCCAAGTCGCAGGAGAATTGGATCAAATATGCAGCCTTGATGAGACCTTTGTTTGCAACCAGAGCGTCGTGTAGGGCCCACCAGGTTACAAGTTTCATGATATCATGGGTTCCTTGTGTATTTGCGTGACAACTGTGGTGAGTCGTTTTCGCTTTCTGATCAACTGTTTGCAACAAGGAGAGCCACCTTTTTGTATGGATGAAGCAGCTTCACATTTAGAGAAGCTGGCCAACAACCAGATTCCTCGCACTCCATGCCTGTCAGTGGGCTATTGCATTCTGGCACCAGGCCCTGTGGTGGGGCCTGGGGTTCCTGGAATTTCAGCCCGTGGACAATGCTTGAACCCAGCAGCTTTGATTCAATTTAATCTGTCAATAAGTTGAGTGAACCAACCGTGCAACTGATCCACTCATGGCTGTTTTTTTTTGCGCGAGAAAGCCACATCGTAATAATAAATGCATTGTGTTGGTTTGAGATTAATTCTTGTCCTCACTTGTCCAGTGTTCCCATCATTGCCGAACTTGTTTTTTGTGTGTTTGGTCGTGGTTTCCGAACTGTCTCAGCTCTCATTGTGACAGTGTGCATTGAATCCCTTGCGTTTATGTGTTTGTTTGTGACTGCTCAGAGTGTGGCTTTCTATTGTATGTCCTTACCCTTGACCTTTGATGACAGTTAGCCTTTTCTGGTTATGATCCAAATCACTAACCTTTTGGTGTTATTTTCGCACTCAGTCCTGTATCAAGTTGGCATTTGGAATTTCATGTTTGATTTGACACGGCAAATCCGAGGTTCCAAATGATGTTGCTATGAGATACGAAAAGCTAGATGGTCGTGAGATGCTTCGATATGTTGGGAAGCGACGGCAGCAATGCATCTACAATGCTGCAGTCAAGCTTTGGAGCCGCGGTATTGCTTGGGATGCGGCTCTGGACATGAGTACCCAATCCTTTGATGCTGCGATGCAGCTTTGACCAGCTTGGTGTCATGGTCCGACTTGACACAGTGAGCTGTTTTTTTTTGCCAGTCTTGCTGTCACAAAATCTGATGGTAGAAATGGTCAGCTCTGCGCAAAATGGAGTCTAAATTGGAAAGTGATTTACAGCCTGGTGTCAATGGCCACCAGCTCAAAATGTTACTTGTTAAGCTATCGTGTCCCATAACCAAGGGCCAATGTTGTTAAAAATGGTTCCGCACTAGGCAACACCAAGCAGTTTCAGCTGGATGTCAATGACAGCCAGCTGAAAATTTGTATGTCTAGTGGGAGGGCCTTTGTGCCAATTTGTTTGATTTGAAGCGTGGGTTTTGTGACAGCTCACTTCAGGAGTTGTGCGTGGTATATCAAAGCATATCATGGCAGCAGTTTGTGCCGGATGTCATCCACATCCGGCACAAAACCAGTTTTTGAATTTTCTGGCAACTAACTTCTGAGTTTGTGTGTGATCGATTTGTGCCGGATGTCATCCACATCCGGCACAAAACCTGTTTTTGGATTTTCTGGCAACTAACTTCTGAGTTTGTGTGTGATCGATTTGTGCCGGATGTCATCCACATCCGGCACAAAGTCCATATCGAACAAATTCTGGCACAAAATCCACCCCAGTTTGTTCCAATGGTTTTGTGCATTTGTTATTTTTCTTCTTTTGGAAAATTGATACGATGCATGTTTAGTTAGAAAAAAAAATAACGCACACGGAAGTAAACAAAAACAAATGGATGTGTGCCGAAGTTCCTCCAGTCCCAGTGCCAAATCCATAGCGTGGAACGCAAATCGCGCTGGAATGTTATGTAGGGGTGATTTTTAGAAAAAAAATTGGGTGCGGCATGGACATTTAGGGGCCTACGTTTTGAAAAGAATGAAAATGACATACTGTGTGCAAAGTAAAACCTTTTTTCAGTTTGTGCCTGATGTCGTCCACATTTGGCACAAAATCCATGCCATAGAACGTAAATTGCGCTGGAGTGTTATGTAGGGGTGTTTTTTTGAAAAAAATTGGGTGCGGCATGGACATTTAGGGGCCTACGTTGTGAAAATAATGAAAATGACATACTACGTGCAAAGTAAAACCTTTTTTCAGTTTGTGCCTGATGTCGTCCACATTTGGCACAAAATCCATGCCATAGAACGCAAAATTGCGCTGGAGTGTTATGTAGGGGTGATTTTTGGAAAAAAAATTGGGTGCGGCATGGACATTTAGGGGCCTACTGTTTTGAACAAATGAAAATGCAATTACTGTGTGCAAAGTAAAAACTTTTTTCAGTTTGTGCCTGATGTCGTCCACATTTGGCACAAAATCTATACCATAGAACGCAAATTGCGCTGGAGTGTTATCTAGGGGTGTTTTTTTTGAAAAAAAATAGGTGCGGCATGGACATTTAGGGGCCTACGTTTTGAAAAGAATGAAAATGACATACTGTGTGCAAAGTAAAACATTTTTTCAGTTTGTGCCTGATGTCGTCCACATCTGGCACAAAATCCATACCTTAATAACTTTCAACGTTTTTTTTGAAGGCGTGCCCAGTGGAAACATATGATGGCACAAAAATGTTTCAAAACAAATTCCTTTGGCATAATTTCTTTCACACAGTGTGTTGTCTGTTCAAAGGTGGTTTCTTCGATCGTGCGCTCCTGGAGCATTGTCTGTAATGATGGCCTTTTTTATGCATCAAATTTTCAAAGCATGATCTTTTCTGTTTTTTTCTTTAAAGAGTCGCGCAATTCCAGAAGCATGCAACGTAGGAGCCGTTTGATATTTGAAACGGCGCTGTTCGGAAGAAATTGAGCTCAAACCCAAATTGGTTGTTATCTTTTCTTTGGAGAGTGATGTTCCTGGCAATTGGTCAGCTCAATTTTTTTCCTCAGTCACTGTGAGCCTGGATTACAGGCTTTGCACATTGAGAACAAAGTCCGGTATGCGTGAAAAAAGCTTGGCGACTGACCAAGAGTTCTTTCCTTTTTTTTCGCTTGGACATCACTGCAGATGGGGCTACTAGGTGTCATGCAGAACAAACCCTCATGCCAGGTGTCATTGCGATCTTTTCTCTCCCAGGCTGAAGCACAGCTCTAATTCGAACTTGGCGTACATTATGCAGCCAGCATTTGGTCAGAGATAAATCCATTGCTGCTTGCTATTTGTCTACTATATTTGCTTTTGAGAATGAATGTGACAGTCAGTATTGCTTTTGTTTTGTCTTGAAGCAGGGCCACCACAGGCGTGTGATCTAGTTGACATTGACATGTCGCTAGCAATTTCAATTCGAGTTGAACCATGGGCCCAGCGTCGAAACGGAAATCATCAGCCGGTGAGGGAGGTTCTGCCGTGAAGGTGAAAAAGGTGAAAGATGAACCGCTGATGGATCGTGAGAAGATGACTGAGTCATGCAAGTCTGCGACAGCTCTCTTTCGAAACTGGTTGACACTTGGACTGATCATATCATACTGACTGACAGCCTGTCCATTTGCCATGTCACGCTAACCTTCAAAGTTCAGAGCTTTCGCCTGATGCTGGACTAAGGAGTGCAACCTTGGAGACACACAAAACCTTGGATGCCTTCTATGATTCTACCTTCGGAACCAAGGATTGGGCTTTAAGCTTTAGTGTAGGAATAGTTTTGTCATGCTACATTGATTGCATCAGGAGAAAGTCTGTGAGTTCCTGAGCTGGATTGACGAAACTTTCCCACCAGAGTCTTCTGTGCCAGGCTCTCAAGTCTGTTGCTTCAGATTCACTGGGGGAAATTGTTGGTTCATTGCAGTCTTATGTCTTCCAAGGTCCTATGCAGGCCCTGCCGATTTGAACAGGAAAGGCCCAATTTGCCTGAGACCATGGCAATTGCCTTGGGTCCCAGAATGTGGGCTCAAGGGCGTGGCAGAGCCGGCCACCAGTCAGCGTTTTATTTTGAGGTTTCATTTGATGACAGCTGCGCATTGGGAAGTCCCAGTAACAACCAGTTTCATTGTGTGGCGCCATGAGCAGCTTCACCTTTATGCTGAGGATACTGTCAAGGAAGTTGGCGAGCTCATCATCGTCCACGGGTCCAAACCTCTGCTGTCGCCAGACTGGTTCAGTAACTTTGAAATTGGATATGTGCGGCCCGCCCAGGATGAAGACAGATGCCGACCAAGGAGGCACAGAGCGCATCACTGTGTCATCCCTTCGTCCGCAGTATAAAGCAACCCCCCGTCATGACATCGCTTTGGATGATTTGACAACTGACAACATGGAAGCGCAAAGACGGCTTGTGCAGCCCCATGGTGTGTTCATCGTCAAGGGCTGGACCCGGATGCTTTCCCGCTACACAGTGATGGCAGCTGCCCGTGACGTCCCGCACTTGTTGAAGGCTGGACACATTTACAATCATGAATTTGCTGCGTTGCGCCATGTCTGTCACTGTATGGGCCTTTGGATGTTGTCAAATTTAATGTGCATTGGTTCCCGGATTCTTAGTCTTGTGCAGGAACTCCTAGGGCAGATGATTCAACAGCCTCTTGCCAGAACACGTTGATTTGACTGGAGTTGTGTTTCGCACTGGAATACTATTAAAGATAAGCAACGAGCCCAGGACTTTCTGCACAATCTATGCTGCTGTTGCAGTTCCGCCGGGAGAGGATCCACAGGGGCTTGTCACGTTGCACCGCAGTGCTTTGGATTTCAGATACGGTCACTATGTCTTTTTTAGCTTTTACTGCTGGATGTAGCTGTATGAGTGCATTGCTTCAAGTTTTTTTGTTCGAAACTAAGGTGCGACCATGCAGGCCACAGTCAGACGCCGACCAAATTGTTTCAACCTCTTGTTCCAGATGGAACTCCTGAGGAAGATGGGATGCGACCCAAGTGCAGAGGCTTCCTAAACGTTTGTGATGTTGCAGTATTATTATTGTGGTGCAAAAACTTGAAGATCGCTGGTTTTCATTTGACAGATTCCATGTGCTTGGCTTGTACTTTGAGGTGGGTCTGTGGGACACGGCTGGTCAGCTTGCCAGTGCCTACAAGTTGGGCCGGGCAGAATCCAATGCTGCTATCAATCTGCTTAACCATATAGATGCTTTAGCCGTCGATGGGCTGACGTCTCTGGTGAAGTTCTTTGACTTATATTAATGGCTGATGTGCAAAGTAATTCGATTGTCGTTTTAACCACTGTAACTGTAAACTTCTTATTTTTCCATGGGGTCAGCTCATTGCAGGCAATGGACCATGATCAAGTTCATCACACACGAAGCTATAGCAAGTGGTTGCTTCAACAGGGAGCACTGTGCGGCTACAGGTTCCATGGCAGGTTGGGAGGATCCTTTGTCCAACTCGGACGCCCTCCTACAGCTCGTCTTGGGTCGCATGGACTCAGATTTTGCTGCGCTTCATCACAAGATGCGCAAACCCTACACATCCAGAGAAATTGATGCTTTGATTGAATTTAAGACTAAGAGACTTATGTCGCAAATTTTCTGTAGTAAATTTGTGTCCATGTTCCGAAGCCAGCCGTTCAGGACTCCCTGCAACGTTGCGCTGGGGCCTACTTGGCTTGCAGCCAGGAATTCAGAAAGAAGTACCCTGCAGAGTTTTGTCAACAGCAAGAAGCTGATATCCACAAAGCGTCGCTGGCTTGAAACTGACAGGTAAATGTGCAGGTAAGGTTCACGCACAGTAATGAACACATATTAGGTACAAAGTTCGGTGCCAAAGGTGGGTTACAAGTACTAGGTATTAGGGCCGGTTGATGCTGCAAATGGGTGACTCGAGGTTTATGATGAAACATGCAGACTCCGAACTTCTTGCCCTCATAGAGGAAACTTCTCCTCCAGTTGACCTCAACCGGGTGTCCATTTTCCGGACAGCTATTCGCAGGCATGAAAAACAGGCCAGGGATAATAATAATTGGATGGATGGTGTCTTGTCAGACCGCGTTGAATTGAAGACTGAAGAGACATCATTTTTAAACTTAGCAGGTCGCAGACGAGCGAGAGAAGGCGGACGAAGAGACTCTTTGCTTCATATTCATATTGCTGTTAGTTGCGATGTTTCTCTGACTTTGTGGGTAATGCTGCAGCATTTTTGTGTTTGCCACGGGGGTTCATGGAGTCTGGGAGACAGAAACAGCATTCAACCAAAACATTTTTTGTTGGATGTGTTTTTTGATTTCCATTGCATGTTGATTGCCATGTGGGACACATGCGTTATTCTGGGCGTTGGCTGCCATGTTCCATGGCGGTCTCTGGGAGACGGAAAAAACCTTCAACAGAAATAATATCTTTTGTTGGAAGTTCTTTAATTTGATGGCTATTTGGAGCCCATGTTGGTCATGCGGGGCTCATGTTGTGGCAGGTGGGGGCCTTTTTGGCTCATGTTGGCTTAAAAATGCTTCAAAATATTTTGTGAACCTTTATAGTCCTTCTTAGTTGGTAGATGTAGTGCCCAGACCTTGCCGTCGTTTCAAGGATTGCAAATCAAATGGCGTTGGCTGGCCAGAAGAAGACCGAGCGTGAGGCTAAGGATGATTGTGAAGCCTTGAAAGAATTCTTGGGACGGGCCCAAGATCATGCCAACCGACAAGTGCCTTGTTTGAAAATTCAAGGCGTTTAACTTTTAAAGTTAGTGTTTCTGCGCAATCCTCCATTTCCTCCTTTTTCCTCCCTGTTCTGATTCTAAACATGATGTGTGCGATTTGCCAAGGGAGCGCTGGACTTGTCATACCTTGCAAGAAGGTATGAGAAAGGCAAGCAGTGGCAGGAATCTTTCATGGCTACGCACCATCGATATACGGAGATGCGATCGCTGAGTGACTGCCACGCAAGTTTGGCAGCCTTCCAAAACCAGGGTCAGGGAGAAGGCGAACGCAATCCCAACCCGTTGCCCAATAGCAAATAATGTTCAAAGGAAGTCATGCTGCATGATGCAGTTTTTATTATGTTTCTAGTCCGTGCATTTTCTTGGATTCAAGTGCCTGCGATATTCATGGTCCAGCGCCCTTTTAACATCCAAACAGCTCTATGGCTCTATGTGATCACTTTATTGAAAACGTAGCGGGAAAGCATGTTTCCCTCCTCTCTGCCGGGTTGGCCTCTGGAGTTGTTTGAACAAGTCTTGCAGTTCCATCACCACCAGGACTATAGTTGCTGCTCTTGGCGTTACTATTATAATAATAATACATTTAACAACAGCCAACAACAATAACAGCAATAACAACAATAACAACAATAACAACAATAACAAGAATATCAACAATAACAACAACAACAACAATAACAACAATAACAACAATAACAAGAATATCAACAATAACAACAACAACTACTACTACTACTACTACTACTACTACTACTTCGACTACTACTGCTTCTACTTCTACTTCTACTTCTACTACTACTACTACTACTAATACTATATACTACTATATACTACTATATACTACTATATACTACTATATACTACTATATACTACTATAAACTACTATATACTACTATATACTACTACTACTACTACTACTGCTACTACTACTACTACTACTACTAACTACTAACTACTAACTACTAACTACTAACTACTAACTACTAACTACTAACTACTAACTACTAACTACTAACTACTAACTACTACTACTACTACTACTACTACTCCTACTACTCCTACTACTCCTACTACTCCTGCTACTCCTGCTACTCCTGCTACTCCTGCTACTCCTGCTACTCCTGCTACTCCTACTACTCCTACTACTACTACTCCTACTACTCCTACTACTCCTACTACCTACTACTCCTACTACTCCTACTACTGTAAGTTTGTGGTGCATGATGGTACTATTATACTGTTTTATGGTTTGGAACGTTAATGACTGATTGCGTTGAACCGTTACTGTATTACTTCATGATTCGCAGAAGAGCAGACAGAGCCCGTTGTCAAAAAGCTTTGATCCCTGATCTGTAGCGTGCGGCGCTGGAATGTTACTTATTTTCCATTTGCAACTTAATGGAGGCACGATCCAAAAAAATTGCGCACGGCTTTTGACACTGCAATGTCGCGTTCACAACCCATGGGCCATCATCATATGAGCAGATCACTTTGAACATCGTCATGTTTTGAGGGTCACTGTCCTCATCATGGATTTCAGCGTTTGGCCGAATCGTGACTTGGTGTTTTTGTTTGGCGCCACAGAATCAAGGGTTAGATTTAGTTAGACATGACGTGTAACCGCGCTTACTTCACTGACTGGTAGGTAGTCTTCTGGTGGATGAAGCTTCTGACGTGTCGAAGTCTGTGGCAAACGCCAACCCAAATGCCGCCGTGTTCACTCTTTTGCCACAGTACCACACATCGACGGACCTGGCTTCCGTTGTTGCTCACCGGAGAACCATCGAGGACAAGTTGATGGGGACCCTTGGATGTGAAAATAATCGATTGATTTTTTGCTCTTTGAGCTTGGCCATTAAAGGTGGTTCGCATCTCATGATTATTTTTGCCCTTCGCTCAGAACGCTCGAGTTGAATGAAGTGACCGTGCACTTCAAAGACACTGGGCACGGAGGAGACAAACGGAAACGTTACCAGCCATGTTTCTAGCTTGCAAACAGCATTTCTTTGGCGCTGTGTGGAACGCCTGTCAGTTAGCAGTTTGGCCAGGGCATTGAGTGTGACTGTGATGGTTCAATTATGTTTTTGTTTCGCGGACTCACTGATTGAGTGTCAGGCTACTTGGGAGGTTCATCCCTGCACAAGAACAATTTCCTTTTTTCCAAGAGCAGTGCCATGATCGGTGGTTTGGGCCCTGTGTCACGAGCTCGAGTGATGGACCTGTGGTCTGATGATCCTGAGAAGCAGCCATCAGCTCCGCAACGTGTTCCTTGTTGTAAAGTAGTTGACACTCATCACCGTCGTGAGTCTCTGCAAACATCAAACAATTCAATTCAATTTGAATTTTTTGAATTTTGATTCGTTTGCTGTAAGGTTCAACAACGTGGGGTCGATGGAACAAGAGAAATTTTGACCCTCTTGGTGGACAAGTTGGAATTGACTGAGGGGACTCCAGTGTACGTAGCAGACCTCACCATCAACAGGCTGTTTCTTTCAAAGCTTGACAATAATTGCCCGCTGAAGGTTGCGTTTTGTTTTCTGATTCGCTCACCTCATCGTTCTTAAGACTTCTGCCAGGTCTGATGAATGGGGCAGGGCGGTCTGGTCTCTCCAGAACAAGTTCCTGGAATCCGGCAAAGGTCTTGACTGGCGTTTTGTTGCTTTCCACGACCCACAGGATGATGATTCAACTTACAGCCTGGATTGGATCCGGAAATACATGAGCGGCGTCATGATGGAGGCGCAAAATTTGTTTTTGGACCAGAGTGAATTGGAGCACACCTTTGTTTTGTTATGTTTTGATTTTTAGTCGGCCTTTCACAGTAACTGTAACTGGAACATGATTTGGTCACTCATGACAGGAACATTGGGACAAGTGTTCGGCTGCTGGCCCCGCAACCCGGCCAAGTGAGAAGTTCCAAGAACAATGTCCTCCGCTCAAGGTCTTGGCTTTTGATGGCCACAAGTTGAAGCTGCTTGTTTGAAAAGATCATTGACAGGCTCAAAGTTTGGGCCTTGCTTTGATATACGCTTTGTCTATTATCTTGTACGTCATGATGATTCATGCTCTGTTCTTCCTACTAGTAGCGGGTCAGTGCCAGTCAGGTTGCCGGCATCGGTTGAGAGCGCATTGGGGTGTGTGAAGGGGAAGGAGATGCAGCAGATGATTGAACGTGTCAACAACGAGAACAACATGGAACTGCTGAATGCAAACTCACGCAAGTCAGGCAATGCTGCAAGAGGTCCGTTCAAAGATGCAGGAGACATAGCAATAGGAACCAATGTCTTATGTGATGTTCGTGGTTGGCATTGACTGGTGGCCATCATCCGTATTAGAATTGAATTGATGACAGAGTCATTGTTTGAATATCTGTCGCTCCTGTAAATTCTTGGCAGGAGGTGGCAAGCAGGTTCGCACGCAGTGCCGCCCAGTGTTCAGCCAACCGGATGATGCCCCGATCAACCCTCACAGGGCAGTTGACCCATCAGTAATTTTGACCTTGGATGAATTCGAGACACAGAAAACGATTCTTGTCTTTGCAGAGAGTGACCGTGGAATTATGGGAAATCACAAGCTGTGACAGGATTCACTTCTTTTGGGCATGGGGTCAGGACATGACTTTAAGGTCAAAAGCCAAGAGCTTTGTTGGAAGCAACAAGGTCAAATTAGTGCTGACGGACGAATCGGAGCTGTGGCTGCAGAACGCATCAGACCAGCCAGTGGAACTGGGTCCATGCGAAATTTTCGGCTTCAATGTTGGAGCATTCACTGAAAAGAAAGCAGGCAGTTGAAGTCAAAAACATTGAATTGTTCATCGATCAGATCATGATTTTGTCTCGGACTGAAACATTTCCTCCTCCTCCTCCTCATCACTGGCAGGCACAGCGAAAACCTTGAAGGAGAAGACCCTTGCTTTCATGTTGCAGCGAGACACAGACATGATTGTGTTAGTCTCTGGTCAGACTAAACAGTTGTGCTGCTTCTCTGATGTGGCTTGCCAAGCCGCTCAGAAGAGCGGTTTGACAGAGATGTCCATGGAAGATCACACAGTCACGCAGCTGATGAAGGACAGAAAAGTTTCACTTACTCTTGAGCGGCCATGGAGTAGGTGCCATGTCCTGTTTTTTTTGGCGAATTGAACGCGGGTTTCTTGGAGATAAGCATTGTGACAGGACGATGCGCCTGTCCCCTTCCGCTACACCATCGTTGGAAATCCCCGAGTGAGCGTGTTTGAGCCGAAGCAAGTGCCTGCAACCCACGATTGGTTGGACTTGCGCCCAACTGTGTTTGGAGCGTGCTATCTGGGGTTGCCAGGGGGCTTTTCGAAACTTCCAGCATCTCCAGTGGCCCAACAGGTCTGGGAGGTTTCTTGGCTTTAAATAGCTTTTGCTACATCATGGGCTGCCATTAGAAACATATGGCTGTTGTTTGATGGTTTGCAGGTTGGGTCAAAAATGTGCAGATAGCTCAGGTCATGACCGAGCATGCTTTGGTGCGCACAATCAAGCCCAAATGTTGGCTGACCTGCCAGCTCACCATCCCAGCGAGTTCCGCTGTGATGATCAGTGGCTGACCAGGCCACTTGAAATACACACAGCCGAGTGTTGTGCCAGGCTGCCATTTTCTGGAGCAGCATTTTTTTCCTTCGATTTGAAAATGAGTTCAAGCCAGGCTTCAGAGCATCCGTGGCAAAAAATTGTGGATTTGCTTGGGGCTTGTTTTCTGCATTCACTGAGAGTGTCTTGAATGGTCCTGTGTCAATCATTATTGGTCAGAGCGGGGTGATTGAAATGCCTTGCACGTTTTCCTCTGAAGGCTTTTGATTCAAAGTTCATGGGATCAGTGGCACTTGCAGCCATGCCTGTTAACGACGTCTTTGACTTGTCGGATGATGAGCCCACTGTGGTTCCCAACACCGGGTCCGGGGTTGACCCAGTGTCAGATGATGACCAGCCGTTGGTAGCAGATGCAGATGGCGCAGCTGCTGTCCCAAAGTCGTCCAAATCAGAACCTGGTGTCAAGGCTGGCCCTGCGGTTCCCAACACCGGGCCCAGCTCAGATGACAAGCCGTTGGCAGCAGATGCAGATGGCGCACCTGCTGAGCCAAAGTCCAAAGCCAAAGTCCAAAAGAAGGCCAAGGCTAAGGCCACTGGCAAGTCTAAGTTCAAGCCGGCGGCCTCAGAAGCCACGGCTTCAACCAAAAAAGGTGCTGCCAAGAAGGCTGCTGCTGCCAAAAAAAACAACAAGAAGGCCGCAAGCAGTGGGTCTGCTTCAAAGCCGTTGACCGCGGCAAAGTCTTCAGCCAAGGCCGCTGCCGGGAAAAAGAAGGCCAACGCCAAATCCAAAGCAGCGACAGCTCCGCTGCAGTCTGAGCTTGAGCAGGAAGGTGATGATTGCGCAGAAGTTCCGAAAGCTGCTAGCAAGCAGGAAGGTGATGATCGCGCAGAAGTTCCGAAAGCTGCTAGCAAAAACAAAGGCTTGAAGCGCCCTGCGGCTGTGAGCCGGCGGGATGGGCAGGGCAATTTGGGCGTGGTGCCAGAGGATGATTTGAAGAACCTGACGGTTGAGAAGTACCTGTATCATGCTGAGGAGAAGTGGGGCATCCGGCGAATCAATCACAGAACAAAGGAGCGCAATGAGTTGGCCACGGTGCGGCCCAGCCCAGTTTGATTCTGTTATTTACATCAGATCATCAGTGCCACTTTTAGAGTGCAGTTTGATTCTCCTCACCTGTCAGGTGAAGGATCCAGAAGGCAGAATCCCTTCGCAGAAGTTGATGGAGATCGCAGATGGGCTCTGAGATCGCTGTCATTGTTTTCATGATACAATGCAGTCCTGGTTTCAAGTTGCGCACCTGTCATGTTCAATAATTGTCGCCTAGGAGATCGTACGGCTCGAGGCAGCCAAAGGTGTGAGCAAACAAGATGTCAAAGCTTTGGCTGCCCATGGCTCAGGGTGACCTTTGGGGTAGTTTTTGTGGTCAGCCAGTGTCAGGTAGTAACTTAGCAGTTTTGTTTTGAAGCGATTGGTATCGAAATTAGATGTTTTCACACCCCTTCTGAGGTGACGTTGGTGGATGCTGCTGTTCGGGCAGCTTCTTCTGAAGTTGGGTTGGCTGCAGAGGCGCCTGAGCCAGCTGCTGCAGCACGTGAAGCAGCAGAAGGGGGCGAAGAGGAATGTCCTGAAGAGCATGATGCTATTATGGATGAGAGCAAAGATGTGGACTGAAAGCTTTCAATCGTTGTTTTTCAAAGACCCTGCCTGGGATCCACTGAGGGGTCGCCGTGGCTGATGTTGAATGAATGTTTCAGTCGGCTTGACAAGCGGACTTGAAAGAAGATGGCCTTGGCCATCATGAGGCCTCTTGAAACGTTTTGACTCGAACGCCGAACGGCTCACCAGCAGGAAAAAGTTGGGCCTGAGCCTTCATGGATTATTATTGTGAATTTGATTTTTGCAATCTGCCATGTCATGGAGGTTCTCCGATTGAAAACTTTGACAGCAGATCAGTATGAAGTTGATCACTTCACTATCACACTGAAAGCTTGACGACTTGTGGAAGGTGGTGTTTCATACAAACTGTCACTTTCAAAGTGCGCTCCCATGACTTTTATTTTCAGTTGCCTGTAGAAAGCACCCAAAAATCATTTCAAGTGGACGCAATATTTATTGAGCCATCAAACGGTGCCAGGGTTAATAATGGTTTGAAGCTAAATCCCACAATTGATTGGATCAGCTTGGGCCAAAATATTGCCGACTTCATGGCTGTTTTTTCTAGATTTCATTTTTCTATAGTAAGGGTTTGGTTTTAGATCATGGTGGCTGGTCTTAGATTTTATCAACGCGCGGCCTGCGGTGAATTTAAGCGTGCTTCGTAGTGCTAAACATGTTTGCGCGGTCCATGCCCAGATTTAATTTGCTTTGACAATTTGTCAATGGCTGGTGGTATTAGCGACTGCCAAACAGTAGTCGCTCCTTCATAGTACATGACTCATAATGACATGACTCCCATTAGGGCATCGCTGCCTTAGCGAGTGAACGTCGATGTCAGTGCGCCGAATTATGGTGCAAAAAAGGCATTGGCCGCATTGGATAGAGCTGGTGCAATGTGCGCTTGGCAGCGGAGCATTTGTGGTAATTTGCTGGAATACTGACAGCAGCCGCCGCTGTCATAATGATGAGTTTAGAGTTTCTGGCCCAATGCATCCCATGAGCATTTGTTTAATCTCATCGTGAGTTCATCACGATAAGAACTTATTATAAGATGGACCGGCACTTTGACTGCCAATTATTGTGGCCAATACACCATCATGGCAGTGCATTATCATGGCCTTCCTCATGGCCCCAGGAGTGCTGTCACATCATCATGAGCACTAAACACTTTCATGGCGGACACTCTTAGGAGTCCATGGAGCATCATTATATTATTATGATGATGCAATAAAATCACCCCAAGGCGAGCCAACCCCAGATCCAACAGCCAACCCCGAATAGGGAGAAAAAATCTTACCTGCAAAACTCAGTTTGAACTGTTGACCAAGCTGTTACACTGCGTTGTTTCGACTCTACACGGTTGCCACAATCTGTATTGCATGCATCAGAACCTTCCTCAGATTTTCGCCGAAACCATATCGCCGACAGTATTATGATTTTTGACATATTTTCGCCGAGATCATGTCGCCGACGAACTTTGGGTCTTTTTGGGAAACAATCGCCGAAACAATTTTTTGGATTTCAACATGCTGGTCAAAACTCTATGGAATCTGGTTAAGACTACGTTTGACAATATTGGATGCCCTACATCGTTTTCGAGACGTACCTCATGTGGCTCCTGTACTAATCTAACGATCTAGACTGGTTTGCATGTTTCAGGATTCAGTTCCTGCCGGATCATATAATGATCCTTTCTTGTCTAGTGTGTGTGTGGGGGGGTTGTCTCAAAATGAGGTGTCCTTTTTTCCTCTCAACGAACCCTTTTTGGAACCAAAAAAACACCTCGTTTTGAGACATATCCATGTATATACAATACATTTATTTTTTGACGTGTTTTTTTGTTTCTATCCTGTGTTGGTTTGTCCCATCCAAAATATATGGTTTTTGTTTTTCTTTTGTATGTAGTTTTGTCAGCATCATTTTATGATAAAATGTATCAAATCAAAAAATGTTTCATTGGAGATTGCAATATATATATATTTTTTTATACAAAAATAAAACGAAGTTTTTCCAAAAAAAGGTGCCAAAACAGGTTTTTCATATAAATAACCTATAAGAAAAAAAGGTTATTCATATAAATAACTGGATTTTTTTCGCGACTTAGCTGGTTCGCAGGGAATAAGCATAAACAACATACATAAGGGTTGAACCAAGTGCATCAACAGTGTGTCACCCTTCCTGAACCACGACGGGCCATGTGATTTTTTTGGGAGGTATTTTCACGGCATTATCACGTATCATTTGTGTGATCAATGCCTGGCCGGCGGCCATACTCAGTGGCTTCAATAGCTTCAGTAACTTCAAGTCATCCAACTTCATCCAACCCCTCAGCTCAGACATATGCTTTCATTTTCCCCGTGCTGTGACTGCATGTGCAGTGGTGCAACGCAGGATGCCAGGATGGCATCATTCCCCGATGTCCTTGTATCAAACAAGTCTCAAACCTTCCGCCTTTTGGCTTCAGGCTCAACTTTGGATGCCGACAATTTGACTTCCCGCTTCAAACTCATCACCTCCATCACCAGCATATCCTTTTTGTAGCCCTTGCATCTTTTGTAGGTCTGCTCGTCAAGAGCCTGCAACATGTCCTTCAGCTCTCCGACCTTCATCTTCTGGACCCTGGAACGTTCTTCTCGCTCCCAAGCCTGCATGTCTTCGACCTTCTGCATGGAATCGTGAGGGGGCTCAGCCTGACAAGACCCAATGGCTATAGCCAAGGCAATGCAAATTTTGACTTCTGAATTCTGAGTCCAAAAAACAATCACTTACTTTCTTTTGTCACTCACGACTCACTACCTATATATATACCCCTTAGTTGCTACTCGTGCCAATTTGAAAAATGCACTAGTAACGAACTGGTGGCACATGGCAAGTGGCTTTAGTTCTGAATCCATCGGCCAGCCTGAGCAGCCTCGTCATCTTCATT